TATTGAGGTAACTCCCTATCCCATACTGAAGTGTCCGACTTATAGGAATTCCTAGCAGATGGGCCTGATCAGAAATGTCAATGTTTAGTTGCTAAATGAATATGTAGTTAACAGCCCGTTACAACCCGAGGATAGGGGAAAAAGAGGCAACAGAGAACACGACGGTTTATTGGTATCACACCAGCCAAATTCTGTGTGCGTATGAGTACGCATGCGTAACAGGTGACTGCTTACAGAAGCCAATGACAAAATGGGTGAGTCATTGGCACACTCGGGCCATGATGCATGGATCCCCCACGCGAGGCGGCTGTCTGTCCACTACAAATATATCTGAATACCTCGAATACACTGTCAGTTATAAGAGCTTTCCCACTTCACATTTTAATCCCCGTTTTGTTTTTGTCCATTTCAAGCCTTGCAAGTGTTTTTGGTTTTAATCCACAACATTGGGTCTTTAGGTAAATTTGTAATTCATCGTCTCACGTGTGTTTGACCTGAAAGTAGAATTTTGCAGCGAAACTGACACGGCTGTCAAGTCGCTTATGGCATCCTCTAGTGGCCTGGCTTACGGCCGACCCGGCCTCGGCTGATTGAGCGTAGGCCTCACCGTCAACGCCCTTGGTGGCGACCAGTTTTAGCTGTTCCCGCGACCTTCGCGTCACACCCTTTGCCAACATCTGGCCTTGGTTACTGTGCCTTGTTTGCTAAATAGCTGTGGCAGACCGATAGACACCAGTACCATTTTCAGATCATTCTCTGGCAGCACTGTAGTGGACTGTCAGCGATCGCGCGTGAGTGAGGCCTGCTTACTGAACTGACGTTGTCAACGAATAATCACTATTTCACTGGTAACTGTTATCAGTCGTCTGTCGCCTGCTCACTCATCCTCACGCAAAGCCGCGCTTGGTTGGAGTGGCACTAACTAACGGTCGTATCTCTCTTCTCGAATCTCTGAGGACCGCTACCTAGTGCTAGCAAGCCACTTTTAGTGCAAGCTTGCTAGAGCACCTCACCACTTTAATTGGGCAAAATACTCCACTTCAAAGCGATGCATTGCGACACCTTAATTCAAACATAGAACGCGAAGTTGATTGGTGGAACCCTTTCCCCAAGGTTGTTCATTATCGAAATTTAGGATAAGCTGGGACCTGACGAAATTCGATCTAGCAAGGATAACTGCCACATTTTTTTTATGTTAGATGTTAGATTAATTAAAATCAACTTTAAAAATCGATAAATGCTCTAAGAACGTGTTTCCCGCAATGTTGCTGACACCTCGAACAGTCTCTGTTTTGGGAGTGCGGCTTTCCTTCCATGGCAGACATTCTTGAATAACAGTAATTAAAATGGCCAGAATATACTTTAGAGGGCCACTTTACATTGGCGGATGGACGTCAGCCAATGCGATCGAGTGAAGTTTGTTTGCAGGTTGACTGCCGCTAATGGGTCACCATTACCTGCCATTCGTCGTTGTTCACACAATCACTAGACAATCAGCCTCGTGCAACCCACTTAACTGACCTGACGCGAACACCTATCTTGTCTCTTGACAAATAGAGTTGTGAGGTACTTTGGATTCGCAATGTAGATGCGTTTACATAATCTCTTAAGTGTAATTTTGGGCATTAACTTCCATTTGGTTAATCAAGAGGCAGACTGGAAAAACGGGGGACATCCTCGTGAACATAAGACTACGAACTGTAGGCTTCACAAAAACCATCTCGTTTTATAAATTTCTCTGCAAAAAAACAGTAAGCACAAGGGTTACTGCTAAACACAAAGTTGGAGTTTTTGTTCAGTGTACAGGGCTTCTTGTTTGCCCAGGAACTCAAATTGTGGAATCAGTCTGCTTCATCGGTTTGAGGAAGTTCTACGCTGACGAAGCTTTTTTGTCTCTGTTCCACTTTTGAACCGAATTGGCAGTTCAATGTTGGCTTTGTGTACAACCCAAATCCTCACGAGGCCCTTCACCACGCTCTTGAATCATCGTATTGTGGGCCCCAGAAAGTGGTCTTGAACCACGCCAGGGCCACTGAATTAACCCTGGCCCGATTACGCTTCCCCAATACCCGCGATGAAAAAAAAGACCGGAGAGGAAGTAGACACAACCGTTTACTTCAGAGCTCAACCTCGTTGGTGTCGTTGTGTCGTGGGTGGGGCCTGCGCGTGTGTATTTATACCTCGGATGCGTGTGTCTTATATACGCTAACATCGAGACTTAGGTGTGAGGATGCTCCAAGACAAATATTTATGTCAACGATGGTGAAGTTGAAGATCTACGAGGCTGGCAACGTGCTGCAAAAAGGGAAACCCCATGTCGGAAGTGGAGCGACCGGATTAAGGGGTATGAATAAACACGATTCACAACAATCATTTCTCAACTCCAGTAATATCGAGCTATTGAGCCAGGCTACGGACAGTTTTTAAAATTTGGTTTCTCTTTTTATTAATGGCCTCAAATTTCATATTTTGCAAAATAGCACCAGTTTTTTTTTACTGAATCCGGGCTCAAATGAGGAGTTTTTGGTACCCCAATGTACCTTCTATGATTTTAGTCTCTTTCAAATAAGGGTGAATTGTAAGGTCCCAACTCACCCCCTTGGTTTTGCAACTTAGACAAACGCTTCCGCACTGATTGATTCAATTTGCCTCTAGGCGTTTGTAGCTTTTCCTTTAACACAAGCAACAACAAATTACGAATTCTCAGCAGACTTTTGTCGTATCGAAGTCCAAACTAATACGGCATGTCGGTTTAAGTTGCAAATGATGCAATTAGATTTGATCAATTTTGATGAGCATGATTATTCGCTGTTCTCCGTTTCTGAAGAAAGTGACTTTAGCAATCAATTCACATTATTTTAGTAGTTGTCTGTGAATGCTAGTTGGTGCTAAAATGAGCGACTAAAAATTGTTACAAAGCTTTTTTTGCAGTTGACGACAAATATTACAAAATGGCGCAGAGAGAAAGAAACGTTTTAGTTTTTTGTTTCAAAACAGTTAACGCGCTCGTTGTTAGTTAAAAAAGTACAAACACAAAGCAAGTTAACATTAAACATTTGATTAATAAATCGAAATTCAAAGTTGTTTCCACGAAATTGAATCACCTGTTCCGTTGAGCTTCATTTACTACGTTAATTTTCATTTCCATTGGACTATTTCCCTGATTTCTTCTTATGATTTCCAAGCAATTATCATTTTCTCCTAAGCATATATGCTCTTTGAATTCATAATTTTACATACAAGCAGAGAGGAAAAATTATTTGATGTATATTTAAATATTAAACAACGGTTAAACATAATTTGCACCGTGACTTATTTCAATTAACAATTTATTTATTTTCTAACAAAATATTTTTGGAAATATTGGTTGCATATTTCAACTAGTAAATTTGACTAAGGCAGCAACTATAGTATCAACATGGTATTACAACTTCCACAAAAATTTCCACCATGGTTTGGACTGAATTCACAATTTATGCAAGTTAATGTCTTAGTTACAGAAAACAACAGCAAACACAGACAGCGTAATAGTTTATTTCGATTCAAAAACTGCGTCTTTCACCAGGTCTGATTGAGTTTGTCATTTTTAACATGACTTTATCCTTTCTGTCGTTACTCCTGATAGAAGTAGGCGCACTATTTGGTGATTTCATCAACGTATACAATATTTTCCATTTACTACTAAACTAAAATTATTTAGGTTTATATATAACATACGACAATTGTCTAGTTACAGTCACATCTTAGATATTTACATACCTGAAACAACCTATCGAAATTGGACGTACTCAGTTAAAAACATGAAACTAAGTGCAAACCTGTCTGGAAAGCTCCAGGTAGTGTCAATTAAGGAGGAAATAAAGATGCTTCAACAAATTTTTTTACAAAAGTTTAGGCATCATCGACTCTAGATTGTATCGTTTAGTCTATAATCATGAACAGATTACAGATTTAAACGCCATCTTACTTGGGATTACTACTTTTACCTTACCACCGAGAGTATTTTCACTTAGATTCTTTTAATAAATCTAGAAATTCACAATGGACATGTGTTTATTCAAACCATCAACAAGAATATATACGGTAATACTAACAGATATTACATTTGTCTAATAATTAAGTTTTTCAGTCACAGTCCTGACCGCTTTGGATTATTTCACTTGTTTTGTAAGAACGAAATTTCCGTAAGTCCTTATAACCGATTGAAAAATTCGTACTTATGCACATTATGACGGTTTTACTCTCCTTGTCGAAAAAATCATTAAATTCAGTTTCCTGATCGTCCTCTCTAAGAGACTTTGAGGTAAGTTTCCCCCTGGATTGCTCACCAGTTTTCTTTGAAACTTGATTTTCCTGTGCCCAATGAGATGGAAACATTTTTATGCCCTGATTCGTATACATATGTCTTAATGCTTAAATTTTTTAAACATTCCAACATTTGGCTTTCTGCATAATTAGAACTAATCACATTTCTGATGTACTCAATTTAGGGGGTTAAATTAGTAGATCGTATCACTTTAACTTAACCACTTATAAGTAAACTATTTGTTTTTTTGCAAACGTAACAGCTAGAATATTTGGATTTTATTAAATGCAGAAATTGGTAAGCAATCACAACGAAATAACAAAACTTAAATAGACCGAATACTTATGTCCTTGGGATCGTTTTAAAAAATGCAGCTGCAGTTACGACGCTGAACATTTTCAAATGGACAGGCTAGAACGACCAATCCGCATTCCGCCGCGCTACGTAGATTACACAAATAAGCACTCGATTTTCGATATACAGAGGGTTTGAATATATGCTATAACGAATTCTATAGGATCTTTTGAAGCGCCTTATTATTTCAAAACCTCATGATCCTCTACAATATTTAATAGATATTCTTAAGTTCGAGGCTGTCAACAGTATTCCTGTTCCTTTTTCAGACATCTGCCTTTAGAACCATCAATATTTATTCTTGGTCCCCCTTGCGTTGGGAAGCATACTCTTGCTAGACATGTGGCCCAAAAGCTTGGTTGTGTACATATCACCGTGGAATCTTTGCGTCAAGATGCATTTGGTCAACCGGTAAACATTTAAATACCAACTCAAAGCCCTTTAGGACCCAAATTTTTTAGCCGATACCTTAAGACAACGGCTAACTGAGAAAGACTGTGAAACAGGAGGTTATGTTTTGACGGGCTTTCCAGAAACTGAAGCTGAAGCCAAAGCTCTCCAAACAACTGGAATATTTCCAGAATTAGTTTGTAATAATTGAACTTTTTAAGCACTTTTTATTGACAGTTGTACTTGAGGCGCCTGATGGTGTCCTTAAGGACCGAGCTGCTGGAAAAGTCATTGACCGTCGCACCAAAGGTGTGCTTTAGCCACTTTTAGTGTCCGCAACCTTTATCATTTACCAACTATTTTTATAAGTACAAGCCGCATTAATGATATTTTAGCGTAAGAACCGAGATATGTAAGTAGCTAAATGGCTTTCAACTTTGGTTTTACGATGAATTTCAATACAAAATTAGGAATATTTGGCCAAGATTAGCAAGTTGCTAAGAAATGGTAGATTTGTCTGCGTGGTGTTAAAACAAAACCTAACAGGTCAAAAATTTTGTCATGAATTTTTAGTCAATAAACATTTTATCGTGCTTTTAGGTGGCTTAAAGGAATATTTTATCTTAGTAACTGAGTACTATATAGAGCGGAATGGTTGAATTCCCCGATTATGTGCTTAGCGTATTCTTCCTCCCAGTGTACAAACACGAAAAGGTTACTTAAAAAGTTCAAACAGCTGGAAAAAAGTTAATTTGGCATCAGCAAATATCTAAAAAGCAAAACATTAAAACTTATCATTAATTTCTTGTAACGGCCTAGGAAAGTACTATGTCGTTTTATTACCAACCCTCTGCCTCTTCTGCCTGGCTGGGTTGACGGTGTTCTGTCCATTCACTAACAATAACCGAATAGTTCTGACTTTCCTACAGATATTTTTAAGCAGTTTTACTTGGGTATTTGAAAAATTGTTAGATTTTTGTAGCAACACTGGCCAAAATCAACAAAACTTTTGTCTCTCCGCAGAACCATATCATACTTTGTATAATCCCCCATCGGATCCATCAGTGAAGAGTCGATTAGTTCCAGCCGCCGACGTTTCTGACCTCGACTGCCGCATTGCAGAGTTCAAGCATAATTTCATAGCTTTGAGTCAAATTTACGAAGACATAATCGTTAAGCTGCGCACGGATCAGGCCCTAGGCGACCTTTACACACAGGCGGTTTGTCACATCTCGCGTCCGCCCCGCACTCCGGCCATGTGGACACCACGTGTCCTCCTTCTGGGTTTTTCGGGCTCCGGCCGCAAAACAGTGGCAGCTGAGCTGGTCAAACGCTACTCGCTTGTCTCCGTGCACTGTGGGACTCTCATCAGGAGGGAGGTCCTTAGGGAGACAAAGCTGGGAAACGCCATGGCAACCTACGCCAATGCTCGTTTGGCAGGTGAGAGCCTACTGTCCGAATTGTACTAGTGGGTAGTAAAGGAATGCGATAATTATGCGGGTGTTTTAGTTCCCTATGTCGAAAACTGATATCCTGATTTTCATCTTAAATAACGAAGACTCCGAAAAATCTTCAAAAATGTTCAATTTTTGCAGAAGTAAAGTGAGGTCACCTTTAATACGTTTTTGTTATACTTCTTGGGTAATTTTTGGCAATATTCATGTGGCACAACCTTTGCGCTTTTTAGCACATGAGAAATCAGATTGCATCAAGATCATCATTAGTTTTAGCGGAGGTGCCATGGTTCTAGTGTAACCTTCCAAAATGTTTAACACTTCCCAAAATGTTTTTCAAGTAGATTAGCCCAACTGGTGTATTATAGCTCTTTATTCAGTTATTAAAATTCAAAATTACGTCCAACGTCCAAATCACAGTGGTGTTTTCTGAATATTATGAAGGTCACCCATCAGTTCGTTACTTGATTAACCTTGTATTATCTAAAAATCACATCGTCTCATTCAAAAATAGCTACAATGCCTGACCAAATAGTTATTCGCCATCAATCCACGAGTTCATTACTAAAACGAATACTTTTAGGATTGAGTGCATGCTTAAAGGAATCGATCTTTGTATTAAATTCTATGTACCTACAAAACAAAGTCTACATTACCGTACTATAAAGTACGTTTAGATCGTTTTTATTTTCTGTTTGTGTTTTAGGCAAAAATTCCTTCCCCTTCATCTGGTAAATAAGGCTTTGCAATTCATACACTCTCAGAAATATGATTTCAATATATGTATATAACTTCCTGGTTATTTAAGCAGTCGTCTTAACTAGCGCTTACGTGTTTGCTCCCTCCTCACTTCTCATTTTCGGACCTAGGCTTTGTTATAACTATTTAAATGCGAGTAAGTACTATTGGATGAGATAAGAAATCTTGACAGCTTGAGGAACAGCCTGAAAAAAGTGTAATGTTTGTGAGTCATTATACCATAATGGCAGTCTGCAAATTAGCTGCCGGAGGGCGGACGACGAAGGAAACGGATTCTATTTGTTTTACAATAATTTGCATTTACTTGTCCAGTTCCCGACGACATGTTGATCTGCCTCCTGCAGTCGCGACTGTCGGAGCTCGACTGCACCCTTAGGGGCTGGGTGCTCTATGGGTTCCCGCGGTCTCGGGTCCAGGCCAAGCTACTCGACGACGCCGATTTGGCTCCGAACCGCGTTATTTTCCTGAACCTGAGTCATGCCGACGCCACAGCCCGCTTGAACGTCCGTCTCATGGACGCCGTCACGGGAGATCATTACGACACGTGTAGCAATCCACCACCCCCGAAGTTGTTCAATGTGCCTGGACGCATCGGGCGCACGCCTGACATGCAGGAGTGCGACGTAAACTACAAGCTGACCCGCCACGCCGCGCATCAGGACGAATTGACCGAGTTCTATGGCCAGCGCGTGCTCAATGTGAACGCAAACAAAGACGTCGATACGGTATTTGAACAGGTCGAAGCGTTGCTTGTTAACAAAATGCCAAGGCAATTGCATCTGGCAGGAAAATAGAACCTATTTACGTGAATTACTCTTCATTTTCTGTCTGCCTTTGTGTCGCACTGAATTATTTTATTCTGTATATGCGACAGTACCTCAGCTGCTGGTTACTGCTCGCAGAAACGAAAAATATGGAAATGGTGGGGCATTTTCAATGCACGGCACATTTTGAATGCTTCCTTGTGCCCCAGCACAACGCAGCCACGTCGCACCTTTGATCGAAGAAATGCAAGCCTTTAGTATTTTTTATGGGACAGGTTTACTACAAAACAGGGTAGATTAAGTTGGTTCTAGCGTAGATTTATGCACTAGTGTTTGGTCACTATCCGGACATGCTGCCACATTATGGTCCAAAGTTCGACATCAAGATATTTTAGAGAAAGAAATCTGTCCAGTTTGGGAGCTGATGGTGCATTTTAAAACACAGAATCAAAATAAAGTTATTTGTGCACTCCATCGTCACCAAATATTCGACAGCGAAAACGTTTCCATTAAAAATAGTACGAATAGGCACAAAATCGTATATTTAAAAAGCTGGAAAACACAAATACCTGAGGTTGCATGAGTCCTATTTATGAAAAATTCGCCTCTTTCAACTGAAATTAAGATGATTGATTGAAACGTGCAACCTGAAGAAAATCTGCGGATTAATATACAAAGACTTTAGTAAAAATTGGCTTCTTTAAACGGCGAGGATGCGATGACAGCAAAGTTCTTCCTTGGGAACAATATGGTTGTCGTAATCAGCATGCTTCAGCTCTAGTTCCTCTGTTTTCCACAACCGTAAGCAAAATTACTTTGACAAAACTCTGTTGACATGGATGCGACATTTTGAGACGTAAGTTAAAGGGCAACTCTGAGTGCCTCTGAAGCGCTACCTAGATTTATGCATGCTAAAACTCATCCAATGACCTATTTTCGATCCCACCTCCCTAATTGGTCGTTCAAAGGGTGAGGTATTTAGAACCCTGGAATACATAGGTTTTACAATAGGTGGTAATTTAGAGACCTGCATTGCGGGAATGTTTGTCCGAAACGTTTTGTCCTAACTTCAAAAGCAATTAAATTTGTTCTATTATATCCCACAGACTAGTTGGCTCCAACAACTAATGCTAGACATTTCAGCGCTTCTACTTCCACTTAATGACGAACTTTAACATGCTGTGCCTTCTTTGTGTGCATTTAAGTGCCACCTTTTTAGCTAACAGTAAGATCATTTTAAAAATTTCGCAGGAATCAAGATAACACCATCGAAAACTTGAATCTGCACTCTAGCATTGGCAGAAAGGTATTAGTTCTGTAATGGGTGTGGTGTGGGCCCCAGCATGTGGTTTTGAATTGCGGCGGGGTCAGTGAGTTAATCCTGGCCCGATTACGCTACCCGCGATGAAGAAAAAAGACCGGAGAGGACGTGGACACAAGCGTGTGCGTCAGAGCTCAACCAAGTTGGTGTCATTGTGTGGCGTTTGCGCATGTGTATTTATACCTCAGATGTATGAGTCGTACGTGCGCTGACGTCGGGATCTAGGTCTACGGATAATTTTGGACAACCGTTCACGCTGGTGAGAGGGGAGTTAAGGATACGCACGGGTGGCAACATACCACGAAAAGGAGGACCCTGCATCAGAGGCAGGTGTGACCGGATTAATGTGCGTAAATAAACACGATTCACAACGTGTGATTTGAAACCTTAATACAGGCCTAATTAGTAATGCCATGTAACAACTTCTGCATGACTAGTTTCCAATAAACTGAAACATGTTTAAAGCTGCTTCCCGAATTTTCTTATTTCAAGTTTGGATCAAGTCAAGTTCCTACTAGACTCCCTACGTGTATACTAGTTCCCAGCTCAATTTGGATAGACATTAACCTATAACCCACACCTTTAATTAGTATGGCGAATAAGAAAACCGGATATGTGCCTCTCGGTCGAAATGTGGAACACACACTTATCTCTGTACACATGGACCCCAGATCCTGCGTTTTATTTAACCAGGATTCGTTTAATTTTCACATAATTTGATGAAAGGAGTGACTGCTTTCCCAGCGGAAATGGGAGCGTACAAAGCATATTAAATGCCAACAAGAGGTGTGGTTGCAGTTTCCAATGATTAGATCAGTATCGTATGAACTGTGCATACCATTTGCGTTTTGCTTCATTGACAAAACCTTCGTATCACTTTAAACTTCAGCTAAACGTATGCCTCTACTAACTGATTGTGCTGAGTGACGAATTGGTAAACGGGGTTACATGTAACGTCTTGTAAAACTGCAACAGCCGGAGGGGTTATGTCAGTGATTTTACTTGTCGGTCCATTCCTGCTGTTCCCTTACATCTCCTATACAACTCCTGTTTAAAATCTCCGCCTATTGTCTTCAGACTAGGATTAACCCACTGGACAACTTCAAAGATGAAAAAAGAGAAATTTTGAACAAATACTTTCAAAAACATCACATAATGGATGTATTTGAGGTGAGTTCTGTCACGTTAGATTATTTTGCCTGAACTCACGGCACCAGTTGCTTAAAACATCGGGAAATGCCATGTTTGTCTTATGTTTTTGAGAAGTGATATTTGGTGTCTGTGGTTGATTATTGATTGTGACCCTGGTGACACGAATTCCTGGCAAGCAAGAAGTGCTGACACCTTACTACAAACTTTCCGGTAACGTGGTGTGTTATCCGGAGAGACAGGATGCTGGCACAGTAATTGGACACAAATAAATTTCATTCACACGTTGCTTCGATGTGTCGAATGAGTTTGGTGCATTCTCTTGGCTCCTTAGTCAATTTCAAAATAGGAATCGGTTTTTGTAGCGAAATCTGCTGAAATTCTAATAAATAATTGATTTTAGCAAAATCCCTTTCCAGAAATTCCCACACTAGTCGATTGTGGCGTTTTAAAGGATCCTTTCCATGCATTGCAAGGTTGTCAGTTTATGCCAAGTCAAGGTGATAACCATTACTTTATTGTGGTAGATTATGTTACTTTTAACAATGCTGTCTTGAAGGAATTACTTCTCAGTGCCAAAAACCGAAAAGCGAAATCATTTTGGTAATTGATAGCTTCCAGCTATCGCTAAATATGTTAGCATTCGACAATCTGTCTAGAAATCGGTTAAAAAAAGCGACGCTTGCATTTACTTGGTTATCGGCACGTGTTGTTATGGTGCGAGGCGAAAAATCATGATCCGAATGAGGCATTTCGTTTGTGTGTGCAGAGGTGGCCTGTGTCCATTTGGGCCCTGCAGTTTATTACTGTTAATGCAATGTGCTCGTCCTAAGTCACATTTAAAACAACCGGAGAAGACTCCTAAGACCCTTGGGAAAAAGTACAAGCGCTTTTCAAGCGCTTATTTCACACATCACATGAACAAAAACCGTGGCAGAATGCGCGTGTTCTCTTTCACAGGCTTTGATGGGGGGCTTGTGTGTTCTTCTCCCGCCAAATCCTCGAGAGTGGATGAAGACTAACTTGGTGGTCCTGTCGTCAATCCCGTACTTTCGACTTAACAGGTAAGTCCCACGATGTGGGAGTGAAATGAACCCCACCTTAAGCGGGACTCTCATTCCTGAGCGCATGCGACAGACGGTGTCGGGACACTGGAGACGCTTCAAATACCGTGATTTTATGGTGAGTGCTCTACTCATGAGGCATCCCTCAATTGATCTCATTTGTAAGCTGTTCTCAGGAGTATAAATTTCAGAATGTAATTAATAATTGTGCTCTCGAATGCCTTCCACCAATGCCACATGTATGCTTAATGGGGTAGGGCCGTTAAAAAATGATTAATGTCTCTTGCAACGCTTTGCTTTTATATGCTGACTTCCGTAAAAACACTGGTCCGACCGTTCTCAGTAGGTAACTTTGCAAATAACCGCAGTGGCTTAGACCCTAGTAGATAGACACGCCGGAAAGGAAGAACATCAAAGAAGATCCGGAACGTAAAGAAGTTTACGTGTTATCTGCTGAGAGGTGAACTGAAGAGTGTTCGAACGGAAGTCAGTGTGGTAAAACAAAGCGTTAAGGGAGAATAACATGAAAAATGTTGTAACTCTTGTGCCAGCTGTTTGATGTACCGCGAAGCCTATTGCGGTACGTTTTTGAATTTGCACAATTTCACCATGTTTTTTCCTCACCCCACGAAAGCTCCGTTACCTTGGGCCACCAGTTGATCCGGAAAAATTGAGAGTCGCAAAGGAATTCGCCATGAAATCACTGCTTGGAAAGTGTTTCAAGTAAATATACAGAAAAAAACGCTGTTTAAATTACCCGTACTCGCGTGAAGTGGAGCCACTCTTTGCTTTTAGCACTTGGAACCACTTGACTAAAGAGACATCTGGATTTGCGGGACATGGCACTGCCACCGTTGCCGGTGCATTTTACTCTGCAAAGAAATTGAGACGGTCGTTTGAAGTCTGGAGGAGGTACATTGGGAACAGAAAGAAGCGCATTCAAGGTTGGTACCAATCAAGCACATACCCCAAAAAGCGTTATGTTCCTTCTGGTTTTGACCATTTCTGGTACCAGCTTTATCAAATATCGTTTTCTTGAAATGAACCGTTTTTCTCTCTTCTTAGCTTTTTGTGAAATAGTACAACTAGTTGAACAGGATATGCTCCTGGGCACTTCGTTTAAATCCTGGAAAACGTCAGTATTCGGAGAAACGGGGGTAGGCTGATTCTGCGAGGTGCTTTTTATTTAACTGCTCCAAATAGGACTAACTTTATTGATTTTTTTGCAGCTTACCCAAAATGCCATTTGTGGAGAAGGCAGAGACCGATTTGCCGAACTACCTGAATTCATTCAGACAAAGGTAATTTTTGAAAACTTTATCTTGTAATGAGTGTGCTACTTTTTTAGATATTCTCCTATTTAACACCACTCGATTTCGCTAAGTGTGCTTTTGTTAATCAAGCTTGGAAGGTAGCAGTTGACCACAATGCGGCGGCGAGCGAGCTCAATCTTTCCAAAATATCACGCCGGTGAGTTCAACGCCTCACGGCAACGC